CATGGCCCTCCTTTCCCCACCACCTGTCTGCCACACCCATTCACACATCTTTTCCTTCTTCCCTCATGTGCTCGGCATGGCCTTTCCTCACCCACCTGCATTTCCAAATCCCTCACCAGGTCTTTTTTTCTTCTGTCAATTAATCATAATAGTTTCTATGGTGTCTCTGTCTGCCTGTTACCTGCCTCTTTGACACTTTGCCATTTGGACTCTCTGCCTATAAACCATTCAAAGTAGGTCACTGAATTCATCCTTCTGCCTCCAGCTGTCTGAATGTGGGTCCAATCCTCATTGTCCTGCATTACCCACCTCGACTTTATACTCTATAAAGCAGGGAACAACAATGAAAACCCAGCTGGCCTTTGAACAATATACAGTATGCAACTTATAAATTGCTATTCTATGATCTTTAAATAACAGACAGGAATAAGCTAAATAACAATCTTATCTCTGTGGGTTCAGATAAAGGACAAAGAGTAAAAGAAGCGTCACCACCATCTTACATACACTTTTAAGGTACAAGGAGGATGCTTTTAAAACGACTTCCTCCCTGCCTCTGGCTCCGGCTGCTGGAATGGGTAATACAAACGTAATACGATGTGATGTGAAGTTGGCTGTACGTGTTTCTCCACAGTCCAGAAGCGAGCAAAGCTTTAAGCCAGACAGAAAGGTCTCAGATGTGGAAATCAGTTTGACCTTGTGGATACATACTGAAGGCACCAGGCTTGGAGTTAATTTTTCTATATCAATTTCCACTCTCATTTTGTGACTATGGCTACCATTTCAGCTTCAAGTCTTGTTTCATAGATCCAAGAAAGCCATATTTTTTCGACATCAATAAAGCCGTTTTTAAAGAGCATTGATCCCCTTTAAATGGAGTAAACTGAAAAGGTGCTGGCCCCGGCTCAGCAGGACACTCCTGTTGAATCATGTTTGATGTTGTGTGTGCACCTCAAAGTGGGGTGGTGCCATGGTGGAGTTTAGAGACTACAGAAGCAACTGAGAGCTGAGTTGTAGGCTACAGTACTGAAAATAAGAACAAAGGCGCACAATGACACAGAGGAAGGAATAACAATGAGTGCTGTAGCACAGTGTTGTCTGATTCTCGTGTGGTACAGGGGTTGTGTGTGCGTGCGGGTTTGGGATTATTATCAGAGCACAAGGAGCATGTACTGTATATAATTTCCCTAATTACTGTTCAGTGCTCTAATTACAATGCAGCAGGGACACATTCAACTCTCAGATCCTTCCTTATATAAATCTCAATACGGCTTCCGTTGTCAATCATAGAGACATGCACACACCGAGAAAAATAAAAATAAGCTTGTTTCTTCTCCCCGTCTTCCTTTTGAAAATCTGATCTGCTCCCTGTGCTCTCCACACAGCTGTCACTGCTGTGGTTCTTGATATTTTTGTCACCTTAACCTTAACTTATCTTTGCCAAAATGTCTGGAGAGCAGTGACCAAAAACGAGATAAGCATTTTTGAATTCTCAGAATACATTACTGGAAGGACATACATCTTAAGACATTGTTCTCTCTTGAAATTCAAATGTATGATCAGTCGAAGGAGGATTGAAACACTGCAAAAACACTGGGAAAAGCCTGTAGCACTTTTTGTCCCTGCATTAAAAAGGTGTAAACAGAAAAAAGACTGAACATGACCTACACATCATTTGTTTGGTTAACTTTAACCTACTTTGGTCCAGAATTTCAATGTATAACCACAACGGAGCATACTGTGCCACAAATGCATGCCATTTACAAAACCATTATAATGAAATCTCTCCCATATTTCATTACCTTCTAAATTGGCCAAATCATTTTGGGAACATAATGACATTCATCTATATGCACATAATTTTGAAAAAGCTGCATGCCTGAAAGGCAACAATGTACCACAGAGGAATCTCAGTTTGCCACTGTGCACATAACTGGCTACAAGTACAGAAGTCAGCATGATTACATTCTTTATGCAACTCTGTTATAATTTAACATAGATTCAGATGCTGTTTTATCGCCATTCAGTGTGTCTTAATGCAAGGTTTTCCCATTTAATTCTACATCTTACCATAAAGCCCACCACCAACATTGTTGGAAGACATATTGTATTACATTATACATAAAATATAAAAATACTCCAGTATTTAAAGTGGACCTATCATGCTATATTTGAAACATATATTGTAGGGCCATACCTATATAAAACATGACTGTGAAGTTTTTTTTTCAAAATACCAAACAGATCATGCATTTTAGCCATGCCTCATTTCGCTCTATTTGCTCTTTTCCAGCCCTGTTTTTTCAAGGGCTGAGTCTGCTTTTGTGGCAGACTACAGCGCCACTTACAGGCCTGGCATATGTACTACAGCGTCTCCAGCGCTTTCGAGCGGTCTCTCATTCCCCTGATAGGTGGAGAGTTGCCCATATAGGCGGAGCACCCCTTTTCTGACGTCAGAACAATTCAAATAATAATCAGATCCGTTGCAGCCCCGTTTTTTAGAGATTTGGGTATGGAGGAAAAGAGAGAGGGTTGTGTTTTCTGACACTTGGTGAGTTCCCTGACACACCGGGGACACATATTCATGTATAAAAGACGTACAAAAGTGCATTTTGCATGATAGGTCCCCTTTAAGTAAAGGTCCTGAGGTCAGGATCCTATTAAAGTAAATGAACAGAGTATCACATTTTGTAATAAAAAAAAATGTGCTTGATCTTCAGATCCACTCTTGAAAAAAACTATAACCTGTGGAGTGGTGGTTCACTGAACATCCCAGGTGGTGTGCACATTAAAACACTGGATCCAGCAGGCCGTTTAGCATTTTATTTGTACAATCTGGTGGTTTGGTGGCGGCTACAGCACAAAGGACAAATGTGGATGCTTTTATCTAATTAAAAGAATATGGGCAACACATCACCAGTCTTATAATAAAAACTAAAAGAATAATTCTAAATAAAGCTCACTATGTCACTTACATCATGTATGCATTCCCAGGATTACTGCTCACTTTCCTTCAACATGTGTTCAAATCTAGCAGGTTGATAAACAAAACAATCCGTTATCTTTAAACTAAACATTTCATTTCAAACGGTAACAAACAATGTATGATAAGTGGGATAGGAAGAAGAAAGTATTGCTTTTTATTTCTTTTATCATAACATTGGACACTTTTGTCTCTTTGGGCAAAGAACATAATTGTTTAAAGGAAATAAACTGAGTAGGGAAGAGGAGCACAACACAACTCAAAGACATCTAGAATATCACAATAAGGCGTACACAATGCTTTTTTGTAAGTAGCCGTCTCATAGCATTACAAGCCACATGTTTTGTTTGACGTGAAAACGTAATATAATAACTAAAGGTGTCAAATACTTGTTAGAAAGTAAGAAATATTTCCTACTGAGTTTCTTCCACTGGCCATAACAGTAAAGAATGAGCTGAGGCACAAAGCAAACCTCTGAGTCTAGCTGCAGCTATATTACTGCTGGGTCATCATTCCACATCTATAGTCATAAGATGTATGGAGGGAATGAGAGGTTAAGATAACCTATATAGACTCCAAAATGAGGTTTTCAGTGCAATGAGCTTACTTTACACAACAAGATGGGAAGCTCAGCGAATGGCGGATTACCTCAGAGCCAATCTGCTGCTTCCCCTGCTCTGAGGGAGTTCGCTGGGTTTCAGTACCTTATAAAGCTCCCCTGGAGATGATGCCTCAGATTGCCATTGCACAAATAGCACTACCTAGTAGATCCAGGAAACACAGAGAGGATGTTATCTTCCAGATAACCTGTGAATTGCTTTGCATCGCCAAGAAGGAAATGGAGGAAACTGATGAGGAAGAGAACATGTGGTGGATGAAGGGAGGGAGACCTGAAGCAAATATCAATTTTTACTAAAAGATAAAGGCCTTGCTGTGTGTACTACTGATATACCCAGGAGTGATTCCTTCGTTCCTGCGTCTTCTTGCTTACCTGCTGGCAGTATGATAGTGTATGGAAGTATGGATAAAAGGCATGCATAATCAGCCTTGTTAGGTCTAATATGTTGTATTGTTATGATGTGACTGCCTGATATTTTGGATCTTTAAAACTTTCACTGCACTAAACATGAGAAGCAAGGATCAACAACATTACCTATTTGTCTGCTAACATTAGTTTGCCCTTTAAGCCCCTAATGACATAATCTTGTTTTTGTGGTTCTCTGTGGGAAAGTCTGTGCAATGCATCTCAAGTATTACAATTCCCTGAATCAGTGTAGTGGTATTCTTTCCCAAAACCAAACCTTCTGTGCCATCTAGTGACCGCAAGCTGAGTTACATGATACTGGGGGGCAGCATTTCATTGAATACAGCTTTACGAGCTGTTACTAGGCAGACTTTTTATTCTAGAGTTATTGCAAAGGCATTAGGAACAGAAAGTCTACATGCACTGTGAAAGGAAATGTGTAATGCTTTTCTATTCAACAATAACTGCTAATGAGGTGTCCTTGAGCAAGGCAAGTAACACCAATCTAAGCCAGTGGAGCTGCTCAGAGGAACAGTGTCAGGCTGTGGCGTGAGCTGCAGTCCCTGGGTGTGAATGTGTGAAAACTGTGTGTACAATATGTTGGATAATGGTAAAAATGAACATCCAAAAATGGCAAACTAATAAATATTGTAGGCCACCTTCATAGCATTTGTTTAGCTAAATGGTAAAGTATAAATATTGATGAAAATCCTGATCAATTTAAAGGGGCCCTATTTTCAGGTTAATATTTGTATTTTGTGCATCCGTGACATGTTTACATGCTTTAATGTTCAAAAAGTGAAAAACTGCATGTGGAGGGAACTTTGGGATTTGAGCCTTTGCACATCATTTACATGCACAACAAATAATATAACATACTACAGTAAAGGGGAAAACCCCCAAAAGCATACTAGGGCCCCTTCAAACCCATTTTCATAAACACATTTTAAATTTATTACTTTAAAAATGTTTTAGTGGTTAAAGAATGGTCACTTTCTTATAAGCATATTTATTTTGACAAGAAAAACAATACAAAGACTCACTTCTCTTTCTATTACTAGAAATCAAAAAGCGACACAACAGTGTTGTCAAAAAGCTTCATCTAGTTTCAAGCAATTTGTCAATGACAGTCATTTCATAAGTGGGTTTTCACACCCAACTTACCTCACTCATTTTAATATGAGAACATTAATTGTCAAGTTTCCCTCAACAGTAGAGGATCATTTATATATATTTGGTCCCTAGGCAGAGTGAACCACCTGGATTTTACTCATATGTTTAAATCATTTTATATCTAAATGTGCATTATATAGAAATGCATGTATACAACTCAAGACACTTACATTAGCTCACAGTTCACTCTTACTACACACACAACTAGGATCATACATTAGTGGGTGAAACAGCTGAAAATGTATCCCTAATGCAGCCATACATCACAGTATCAGTACTTTCAACCTGATAGGGCAAATACAGATTTTTATAGTCACTTAATTTGCCTTACAGTGATCATAAGTGTCAAGTTGTTTACTACTTGATTTACAGATGTGAACTACAAACATACCTAAACACCACTACCCTTAACAATCCTTACGCATGGTTAGTGTAAGTGGTGGGATGAATTTAGGAATACACAAAAGGCAGTTCTTGAGAGGTAACCACATTATAAAAGTGTGAAAAACAGGAGCTAGTGAGTTGTTTGTGCTGCTTTAAGTATTCAGCAGTGCCAGAGATGTGTCTGCAACAAGTTAAAGTGCAGTGCCAGTATAGTACCATCTGATCAGAGCCATTACAACGACCAGGCTTCAAGGCAATAGTCATCTATTCTCTCAACCTGCAGTTACACATATGACTTGCTTTTTCCAGAGGTTAATTCAAACCTAGCAACAGTGTGTGAACACAACAGAAGTATTCAGGAGGGACGAGCTGGCTGTGTGACTGAAGTGCTGGCAGACTCAGATTGAAAGTCAGGTTTGGGTCAAGTCAGTGACGTATTCTGTGGAGGTATCTCTCTGGATTGTTCCCTTCTCCTCTCTTCAGTCCTGAGTTGGGTCTAGCCGGTCTCTCAGAAGTCCCTGCATGGTCTAGGCCCTCAGTTAGTCCCACTGTAGCCCCTGTAGCTCCACCTGATGTCCCTGATGAGGTGTGTCTGCCTGACTCTGGACTATCGTGGGCTCCTGCCTCAGATTCATTCTCCTCTGCGGGGTCCTTCCCCGGGCTGCTGGGAGAACTCTCCCCAATCCTAGACAACATAAACAATGTTGTTAAAAACCATATGGATGCCACAATTAAAAAAGCGACACGGTTTTATGTTAGGAATGTGCTGCCTATTAGAGCTGCAAAGATTATTCTGTTAGTTCTCAACTATTAAATCAAATTTGCTAGGTAAGATAAGATAGAGCTTTATTGATGATGAGGTCAGCAGTGATTTTACCTGAGGTGATTGAAGGCTCGTAGCCAGTGTGAGCCCAGTGCTTCTCTCCCATTGGACTTCAGCCCTCTCCTTTGACTTCGGGCCCTCAGTCCTATCAACGCCTGAGCCAGTTCAGCTTCATCTGTTTGGCCCCAAACCAGCTGGGCCCTCTGCTCTGCGTCCTGATCCCCCGCTGCCTTGAACAGTCTCTGGAGCTGCCACAGGTTCACATCGCTGAAGATGTTCGCTGAGCCTGCTTTCCTGCTCCTCCTATCAGCCAGTCGCCACAGTGGGGAAGGGCCCGCCACCATGGAGGCAGGGGGGGAGGCAGGTCCGGTATCCATTTTGAGAAACAAGGGAAAGGGTGGCATACACCGGCTCTACTCTGTGGAGAAATCTGTAAGAGTTTCTAATGATTAGGATGTGTAAGATTCTTTAAAAAACAGAACAAAACAGGAGCACAGACAGGGCCACAACACATTCACAGCCGTCTCAACTGAAAGCAGTCAACTGGAAGTCTACTACTCTGATTCTTAATCCTACTTTAGGCTAATGCGGATGGAAACTGTCTTTACTCACATTAAGTTTAAGATGGACACTAAGAGACACACTGAGTGCCAAGGATCATTACTGAATGTGGCCTTTCCACCGAAGCAACTTTCTTTAAGCTTGACAAATTAATCTTAAATAAAACGGTCCATTTACTTTCCCCAGGTGTTCAACAAGAGATCATAGCGTTTTATGTAGATGAAAACTCTTCTGATTAAAACTGGGAGAGGGAAACATGTTGTCAAACTTACCAATAAGGCAGGAATTAAGTTTCATTTTCTTTTGGTTAAACATCTGACTTCCCTTGTTACATATTAAGAGGCAAACAGAAGTGGCCACCTGTTGATTATGTATTGTATACTAGGCCACATTCAACCTAGGCTAGTCCTATGGGCCATTCTACCGAATTGGTGCAAAGTCAAGTTGGAACAGTTTTGACATTTTGTATGTTTTTTCCCCAAAACTTTGTCCATATATATTTTGTATATATAAATTAAATTACACATATCTAGTGAAAGAACCGTACATTTTTATATCGTATTTTCAGACTGTATTGGAATGTTTTTCCTCTACCAAAAATGGTCACTACCGAAACATAGTACATACACTCTAGTAAAAAATATTATATTAACCTGTTAAGATTGTTTTACCTTCCCTTCTCTAAATAGTATTTTAACAAATATTTCTTGAGGGTTCACGATTAAATCAATACAAGTGCATTTTTAATCAAATTTCAATTTATACAATTCATAAAAATCATAATGCAAACTTTCTTTGTAAAATGCATAATACTGATCATATTATACTTCTCCTTTGCCGAGATAGTCCATCCCACCTCACAGGTGTGGCATATCAAGATGCTGATTAGACAGCATGATTATTGCACAGGTGTGCCTTAGAATGGCCACAATAAAAGGCTACTCTGAAACGTGCATTTTTGCTTTATTGGGGGGGTCTGGGGGGGTCCAAAAACCAGGCAGTATCTGGTGTGAGGGGTAGGGGTAGGGTTAGGGTAATGTTGTGAATCGAGTGGCCCATGGTGGTGGTGGGGTTATGGTATGGGCAGGCGTATGTAATGGACGACGAACACAGGCCACTCGATTCACAACATTACCCTAACCCCCTTTTTACAGTATTACGGGTTCCACAGATGACATATTTTTTCAATTTTTTATGGATTTTTTGTCAAAGCACTTAAGATATTCATTGCTATCGGGGTGTTAAGAGCATTCCATGGAATATAACAAAAAGTGTATATCGAGCCGGTTTCTGAAACTTACCTACCCCACCTTTAAAGTAACACACTGATTTTTAGACTTTAAAAAACACATTTATTTCAAAAAGGTGGGATTTACCTGCTTACCATTCCATGTTGTCACTACCGAAACGATCATGTCAATTACCGAAATGTAACCATATGTTTCGTATAGTGACTGTGACGGTAGTGACGATTCTAGCTCAAATTGAGCATAACTAAAGAATGCTAGCAAGTACATGGCTAGCATACGTCTCTGAAGAGGTGTACACCGGTATTTACATATACAAGATACAAACCTAATACTTTGCATAAAACCCCGAAAAAGTTTACTTAATTGAAGATATATTATGTGTTCGGTAGTGACCATTCTTAAGGTTACACGCCGATTTTCAGATTTTGGAACAGCTTTATATCAAAAGTATGGGATATAGCTACTTGCCATTCAGCCATGAGGGACAGGGATGCAGTGTCACTGCCTTGTCAAAAATGCAGGGGTGTGGGTAAAAACTAGGGGTGCACCGAATGGGAAATTCTTGGCCGAAACCGATACCGAAAATAGGAAACAGTTGGCCGAAAACCGAATGCCGAAAATGATTAATAGAAATATATATATATAATGTATACATTTTTTACCAATGTTGTTCAGCTACCTGATTATGGAAATAGACATGATTATGGCAAAACTTAACTTAAATAATAATCACTATTATGGGTCCATAAAACATTTATTCAGCACTTTTGAATGCATACAGTACATTTATATATGTCATGTATTATTGCTAAAAAACATTATATCGCAGTCTTAGTGTCGCCAACTCGTTTCTAATATGCAAAGACAACAAATGCGTCTATGATGTATTTTCGATCAGACGAGATCTCTCTCCCCCGTCTGTGTGCGAGGGGGCGGGGCAGTTTACACACACGCAGCTGCTACATGCAGCGGAGCACACTGCGGAGATGGCGGAGAGAACACGCTCCGAGGTGTGGTTAAACTTTACCCGTCTCGATGTGGAGAATACTTGTTACCATAAGTGCAATAAGAGTTTAGCATGTAAGCACGAGCAATTTGTCAAAACATTTAGCAAAAGTGCACCGCATGCAGACGGAGGAATGCACCGGGTTCGACCGTCTTTCTAGCAGCTCTGTAGCTCCATCCACGAGTAACGTTTCCACGTCAGGTGTTATGTATGCTAGCAGCAACACACGGAGTTAACTACATTATACAAACATGGGTTAATGATTAGAGGTAACTGAGTTATTTAGTTTGTTAAAATTTCAGCTATTCTGTTTACAGTCTGTCATCAGATTATTTAATACGATTTGTTAAAGGCTCAGGGCAATCTCGATGACAAAGGTCAATGTTCCCCCCCCCCCCCCCCCCCCTGTGAGCCAGCCGCGAGCATGGTCGCCGCGTCTTTATTACGTCATCACAACAACACGTTCAATGTTCTGACATTCGGTGATATTTTTTAACCATTTTCGGCCGATAATTTTCGGTGGCCGAATATTCGGTGCATCCCTAGTAAAAACCATAGTAAAAACCAGGCCCAGCCATTGGATTAAAACCCCTTGTGTTTCGGTAGTGACATGAAAACTGGGAAAATTATTTTTGTAGTATAGTTTTTTTATTAAAAAATTAAACCCACAATAAATCTAAATATTCCAACTTCTGTTTGAATGTAATCATAAAGATCTTCAAAATACACCATTGACAAAAATAAAATAAAAAGTTTTAAGTTGGGGACAGCTACTTCCCAGCTATTTATAGGGTAGTAGAAAGTACCCTATAAATGATGTTTTTGTATATATTAAGCTTATCACTATCTAATCGAATGCCTTGTCTTTAAATAGACCATAACATATTCTTAGTAAATATCTATGTCTGAATACTTAATTGTTTTGTTAAATAGTTGTTCTTGTTGTGGGACCGTACTTTGTACTAATTCGGTAGAATGCCCCATATATGTAATGTCAGGAAAAGTCTATACAGAAATAGAAAAGAAAAACAATACACTGAATCCTAAACAACTTGTGAGTAAGAAGTGAAATGCAAGCCAGTATTAGACTTACCATAACTGTAAGGCAAGCCTGTGATTGTCCCTCAATATAGTATTATGCAACTTTAGACAGTCAAACACTTGCACTGTAACACAACACTATGTTTTGAAAGTAGGTTTACATTAACCTAACGACACTCTCCATTGTTTCCCTCCAAGTCTACCGTCAATACTGCAAACAAACACTCTGGTTTCTGCATTAAAACCGGATCACTTGCAGAAAAGAGTCGCTAGAAATAACTTGAAATCCTCTTTACAATATTAGTGGTCGTATTTCTAAACTATAAAACACAGCGCAGTGACTGCAAACGTACCTTACTGTCTGCTATGTGTTGCATTAGGCTGTGGTTAAAAGGCAGTAAACAAGAATCCCATGAGAGTCATGTGAAGGAAAGGACTTCTGCTTACCCGGAGATTAACTGTTGTTGGTGGGCTTTGTTCCTACAGAAACTATGTCTGCGTCGCCATTCCTCGTCTTCACAAGAGCTTCCACAATGGCTGAAATGTAGCAGGACAGCCTGTTAGTCCAGCAGCTTCACCTGCAAACAAATTCTGTCCTTGAGCCGAACGTCAATCCCATATGAATGTCGTCAAACGACCTATCAGCGTGTAGAGATCCTCTGATCCCTCCTGGAAACACATTTATGTCGACCAATCAGGAGTTTGGGAGAGGAGGAGAGGGAGGAAGGCTCCGCCTCATGGCCACGTAGGGTGTGTGTCGTGTTTGCTGAAATCCATTGACGTCAATGAGCTGGGCTAGCATGAAAAGAGTCTGTCAATTATGTGAGGGAGGGGACGTAAATTGTGAGCATCCTGCGCAGAAACACGCAGACAAAACATGATGACGAACAAGCCACTCAATATCACATTCTCTTATTATGTTATCCTACATATCCAGCGAAATAGGAAAATCATATTTTATTTGACGTAGCCTATATTATATTATAGGCTATTATATTAAATTAGCCTAGATTTTCTATCAGGCTTATATTATATTATACCATAATGGACAAGGCTTAATAGGCTATGTTATAGGCTGTTAAATTATACTATATTATATAAGGCCTACTAGCCTATTATAGCTTTTGATTTTTGTATTGTATTAGGGACATATTATTTATTATATTGGTGCTTCTCAAATTGAAATATGTGTGGCCTTTATGCATGTTTCAGTTTTTATTTTATTTGGTATGTTTGTGAAATGAACAAAAAAAGTAATACATAAATAAAGTAAAGGTCTTCTAAAATAAATAAATGTGATTACATGTCAGTGTTACATTGCAAAACGAATAAAATAATAAGATTAACTTAAATAATGCCTGCTTACAAAATGTGTGATTTGGCTCTGAAAGAAATCTCTGTCTTGCTGCCTCGGCAGACATACATCTGGTCATACATCTCTTTCATAAAGCCTCTCTTCCCTGAAAGCTGTGAGGAGAAAATGTCACACAGCCCAGGCCCCAGGGGAAACTACACCTCGGGGAAATGTCCCAGAGGAGCAGATGAGCGGACATGACCTGGAGGATCCAGCACGCCAGCAGAGGAGGAGCAGGGTTTGAATTACAGGCCGCCCCCTCTCCCTCAACCAGCCCCCCAACACAGACGCTGCATTCTACAAAGGAAACGGAAAAGACGAAACATACAAAAGGGTTTTTCATTTGAAACCCCGGGGCTGTGGAAAGAACAGAGAGTTCCTTTTAATACCTAAACTTATTTACTTTTGGCTTTATTGTCTGACCACAAACCGTCTTTCTTTCCGCTATTTGTACTGTTTGCACATCTTTTCCCCAGCTGTTTACAGCTGGCAGAAAGCACCCGCCCTGTTCGGGAAAAAGGGACCGAGAGTGACCGGAGGATGCCACCCCAACCTTCCCAGCCGCAGGTGAGGAAGAACATCCTGAAGTTCCTTAAAAGTTTTTTGGGAATCATCCGGATCCTGCAGATTGTTTTCGGAGCCGGGCTGTGGGTCACCATCGCTGCAAACAAATACGAAGGATCCATCCACTTCGTCCTGTTCGTCGCAGTCCTCTTCTGGCTCCTCACCCTCGCACTTTTCTTCCTCACCCTGCTGGACAAGCAGGACCTGGTCCCGCTGCTGGGAGGAGAGCGATGGTTGTGCACTAACCTGGCACACGACGTGGCCGCCGCCGTGCTCTATCTGCCGGCCATCGGAGTCATGATCTACAAGACGGACCGTAACTCCTACTGCAACCTGGAGCTGTACAAACACCACTGTCTGTACAAGGTCTACCTGACCGCCGCCGTGTTCGCCTGCCTGTGCTGCCTGGCTTACCTAGTGTCGGTTATTTATGGAGCCTGCAGGAAGTGTCGAGGAGAACAGACGGTCATCTGATGAGACTGAAGGGGGTGAGGGTAACAGGGAGGGGTACGGTTCCTTTTTCAGGGGGCATCCACAGCAAGATGAGGAATAGTTAACTTCACTGTAATTTAACTCAACAGAGCTCTACTTATCGCAGGATTTTGTTTACTACTTTGTCCCCCATTCCAAGCTTTACACTCTGGTGGTGAAGCAGAATCAATTCAAAATCACTCTCAGTTTATTTTAGAGTTGCTGGCAGGAAAAATACACAAGTAGCTCAGAGACCTATAGTTACCCTGGATTGAGTCTGATTTGAAATGTGTTAGGAGGTCTAAAACATATTTCATGTGTCTCCTAGCTGTAGGTAAGGCCTTGCATTTATCTCTTAATTGAATGTAATTTTCCTGCAGAATAAATATATTTCTGCAAGTGCTACTTATAGAGGGGTAGCAGTATAATTATTGTTTACGATTCAATGGCCTTAACATACCGTGTTTAGATTTGTGTTGGTACTGTCAATCTGAAACCTCTCATAGGGGTTTTCTTTTTCTAAGAGATATTTTGTATTACCTTTTATATTATATGTTTTTTATGTTTTGTATGACAGCAAACTACACCGAACAGTTAGTGGGAATGACTACAAAAAATGGTGGACTTCCTTTTGCTCTGTTTTTTGTTTTGTATGACTCCAACTTTGCAAACAGATTTATCAGTGCCTTTTTCAGTACTCTGTATACTCAACGAGGTTTCTTTTTTACAACAACAATCCCACAATACAGTTGTAATTGGTGCTACAATGTCTATGCTGAACGAAAATATCCTTTAAGTGTTTATTATGTAAAGCCAAAGAATAAAGACCAGTTAATTGAGAGCAAGTGATACGTATCTTTGGTTATGATCCTTTATTAGAGAAAAGCTTTTCAAATTGAGAGGAAGAACTGGACTACGTGTTTTGCTTTTGGTGGCTTTTACCAAATGAGACACAGATTTAGAGGGACTAGTGACGGAAGCCCTCAGGAACTTCCTGTTGGGAGATAAAAGCCTTGGCCAATCAGCAGAGATAATTTATATGCTTCACGACCACATGAAAGACATGGATCCTTAGACCTATCTGTGTGTGTGGGGGGGGGGGGGGGATTATGTGATCATCTGGGAAGAGGATTGTTCTTACCGGGAACAGTCTGCTGGGGTTCCGGAGGTGGGCTGACGTTCAGCCAATGAAAATTAAGCCAAATAGTAGACGATGAGATGTGTCATCTATTTAAGTCAGCATACAGTTCTTAACAACATGCTGCAAATATGATGATTAAATGCAACTCACACATAAAAGCACCATTTCCTTTTTTGGGAAATCCACCCTCTTACACTATAACTCCAGATCCACAATCAAAGCATGACAACAAAATGCAGAGATTAGAATATAAAAGCACAAGTTTTACAACACATGAATGAAAGACTAAAAGATAAGAAATATATTCTGCTTGATGGCCGAGAATATCTTCTTTTACCTGACTCATACAAGTAGCCTTGACTTATGTATGGTCTAGTATAGACAGAGACAAACAGGGAAACTTGAAAAATAATTGGACTTATTAGTATTTCATTTGAGTGTTTTGTCAGTTTGTACAGAATATCTTCCTTTGCGTTTCTATTCAACGACGACAGAAAGAATGCAATGTGCGTGTTGAATGCAAGGTGACATCTGTGGTCAGAGTTACAGGAGTGAAAGGGTTAATGTTTACCAGCTGCAAAATATATATCTAGCATTTCTAAAGGAGGAAAGGAGTCCCACTCCCACCCACTCCATCCCCCTCCTGAGAAGTGTTGTTCTGTCCACGTGTCGCTCCTGCGGAAACACACTGCTGTATACAACCAAGTGGAGACAACACAGCAGCTTTACATGCTGCATAAACAAAGACCCAACCTAGGGTTTAATTTGATATTAAAAGTAACCATAGTGAATCGTTTGAGTTTGATGACTCACAACTATAGCATACGCTGACATTTAAAGCCAATAATTAGCTATCCACATTTACCCTGCAATATTTTTGAGGTTACCACATTAACATGCTCCTTATTACACAGACCACAGTTTATAGATCAAGTCTGTTCAGATTTGTCACTGTTGTGTGTGAGCCCTTTATGAATGTAATCCTCAAACATAATTTCCAAACAAGAAGGCCATGTAATCACAGGGAATAACACCTATTTGGAAACCTTACTACATCCTGACATTATTAGAAGGGTGTGTGTACCACATAAGTGAGGTTATTGTACTTTTCCCCTAGCTACAGAGTAAAAAAAAAAACCAGACAACTTGGTAAAAGGATGTATAGAGCAAGGCACTGCTCTTGAGTTCATACTGTGTGATTTTTTGTAGGCTACTCGCAGGCCCGGTTCTACGGGGGTGCATAAGGGTGCATTGCACCCTCAGTTGAGTCGTTATGCACCCTCATTTGAAAAATTAAAAGTGAAAGATATTACATATATAATAACAATAGTAATAGTAGTAATAATAATAAGGAGAAGAAGAATATAGTTGAAATAAAATAAATTGTAATTATGGTTAAATAACATTGTCTGCTGCATTTATTTGGTCAATTTAAATAGCAAGTAACGTTATGTCAGGTGCGCGTGACCTGTGCCGCTGCGCGTTCGTCATATGCAAGGTGCCCACACTTACACAGCAGTCAATGATGGACATCAGAAAATGGTTAAAACAACCATCCCTTATCGCCAGCAGTAACACTGCATCTACTGCAGGTAATAACAGTCCAGATCATGGGGACATTACGTTACCCGTGGCCACTGTCGTGGACACTAACGTACTCCCGTCCGACTCGCCGGCTTTGCCCGCCTCGCCCACGGCGGCGGAGCAGCTGTCTTAATTGCCCCAAACACGCCACCCCTCGGCGGTCCGCAAGAGGACCTCGGCAAAACAGAGCCTGCCCAGGTATATTTAAAAAAGTACCCAACTCGCCTGTACAGTGGGGTAAGGCGCTCATTTTGCAGCTCATGGTTTCAAAACAGAGATTGGCTGGAATATTCCTGTGAAAAAGATGCCATCTTCTGCTATGCCTGTAGACATTTCGGTCTTAAAAGGGGAGTGATTTGTAAAATATCCATAAAGAAAAATCTGTTTACAGTTCTGTTTCATATGGGTGTTGAGAGATGTATCTCTTCATCTTGCTCTCAAAGTGCACCAGATTGATGCTTTTAAATTCAATATTTAAAAAAGATCTTCCCGGGGGAGCATGCCCCTGGACCCCCCTAGAGGAGGTGAGGACCCCCCCTAGAGGATGTTAGGTCCACTCCCCACATATATAAATAGCACTTTACCACTGCACCCTCTCTAATCTCAGATGCACCCTGAGTCATTTTGTTCTGGAACCGGGCCTGGCTACTCGTCTACTCCACCAATGAGACATTTCCTGTCTGCGCCGCCGCCTACCCACCCTTCTGAAAGCAACTGCCCGTCAAATAGTCATCATGACACTTCCAAATGGTTCCTCTAGCCCTCTCTGTAAGCAAAGCATCATGTAGCTGTTGCCATGGACTGATGTCAACTCACTATAAATCTGATATTATGTTTGCTGCCAGAAAAACCTTGAAGTCACTTCTAAAGTCCATATGGATAACAAGGACATGACTGTGAATCATGGCGATAATTAAATCACTGGTAAGATAATCATAGAGAATTGTTAGGAATGTCTTTTGTCCCTTTTAATTAAAATGCTATTCGCCTTCCAACATAGCGGTGTACAGAACAACAGTTATAGTCTTTTTGGACAAGACTTCCTCATTTTGCCAATCCACCAAAGCTCAGCAATGAAACACTGTCTGGAAAACAGAAGGAAAGGCATCGACTCGATTTCCTCATAGCTTCAACTAAACATCAGAAAGCATTTTTGTGCGTGAGGGATGTGGATTTTTCACCAAATTTCTTACATTGAAATAACTTTAAGAAGAAATCCCCTTACAGCCAGTAACAACATGAGAAACATTACAGCGACCAAAACCCATTTCAATACAAATATGTTTATGTCAGTGTTTTGGACTTGAAAAAACATATTGGTTTGTTCAGCATTATTCAACAGGAAATGTTATTATTTAAAAAATATTTGTACTTTTAAATTATTACCCGCTTTTTGTTTTTGTTACTGTGCCCAGTCCTGATTTACATCTCCTTTTTTTGCAAGACCAGGGCCAGGTGTTAACTGAACCAGGTGCATTTACCTGTTTTGGTTTAAACTATATTCAGCAGCTGCTTTGGGCATGAAGTGCCCCGTCCGTCTTTGTTTCCCACACAAATTCTGTGTCTGCATCTTTTTTACCTGCTCATGGCCCTCCTCTTCTGTCTTGCTTGAGAGGCTACTTGTATGCACATCAAACATGAAAACACAGACACATGCACACAGCAGTGCACTGTCAACCACACCTTCATCAGATACTGCTGAGATGCACATTCCTCTGCAAAGGAGAGGGAAGCATGTGAAAACAGATGGAGACTGACAGAACAAGTAAATGGGCTGGAAAAAATATCAAAAAGGTAATGTCATGAAGATCTAAGCAGGAATCTGAGATCGACATTTCCTGTCTGTGTCAGGCATGAATGTGCACATTGTTTCAGCCCTATCGATTGCCTGTGATACTCTCCAGTTTATAGTTTCCTAACATGGTGACTACACATCTGTTTCAGCAGCTTTTGCCCGCACAATATGTCTGAATGGGCACAGTGTTCGTGAGGCCAATGGCAGCCAGTGGTGGGAAATGATGATAGCTATTTATAGAGCGTTGAAAATACCACCACTTCCTCAACTCGCGAATCCTCCGCCAAGACGTTGAGAAGATTTTTTTCAGAGTCTAAGAAAGTTAGGGAGAAAGGAGGGCGGTCAAACTGATTCTTTGGCACTAATTCATGAAGATAATCAACAACACCTCTGTCAATCATCTGTATTTTTTACCTTAATAAAATACAATGTTATAGAAGGAATCAGAAGTGAAATCCAAGGTGATACAACTCTTACCGAGCTTTGCATCTTGCAGCATTAGTAGACGACACACAAAGTAAAACAAACATTCCTTCAGAGCACGGATCATGGAGTTCCTGATAATACCTTACATGGCTCATAAGTGTTTCCCAGGACTACTTTTCACACAGATTTCACACACTGTAGTTCTGGGGATAAAAATTTAAATTCACATTTTCTCTTTCAATTAAAACAATATCCCCTATTTTATCTGGTTATTAGGCTCCTGAACTTGCATTATTTGGTATCCTTGTCAGAATGAACGCATAAAAAGTTTGGATGCAACAGCGAAATAAAGTCAAAAATAACAATGTTGTGGAGTCTATAGCTCAACTGTCCAGACATAAATAAAACATTTCAGTGTCAGCCAAACCGGACTGCTCTAGATTTTAACCAACAGTGATGGATTTACCCACTAGGAGGTGATATAGGGTTTCACAAAACATGAATTGGACCACATTTAAAACTATTTTATTATTTGCCACCTTTAAAAAGAAAATCACTGACAGTAGTGAACTGGACTAACCCCGAGGTCTGGAAAAAGCTATGGCAAGTGGACATTAGTTGGGGTAGAACGTCAACAATTACATTGGCTACACAAACATGTAAAGGGCTGGTAATGTCCACAATAAAAAAAATGATATAACATTTTATTTGTTGAGTTTATATTCACAAATACAAGTGACTACTGTCTTGTGCAGATCATAATTCAGAGGGATGAATGGATCTTATCACATTCTGGGCAATGAAAAATCAAGCTGTGTTTGGCCAGGGGGAAAAACTGAATACAATGTTGACATTATACAGTCAGCAGTAGATGGTTGCAAGGCGAAGCAATCACAACAACAACAACAACAACGGTCCTTTGTGAGAAGGTTGAAGGAGTTCTCTCCTTAATATAAATATATGCAAATATGTTCTGTATGCAGTAATCTTTGTCATAAAAACTGAGATGGCTTTTGCCAATATGTTATGCAATACTTAAAGCTCCTCCAAAAAGGGCCAACATGTTATGGGACTGCTACTGTACTCACATTTAGGGACATGAAGAGGTGCTGCTCCTGGTCATTTGTACTTTTTGAACTTTTAAACAATTGTTGGTAAATGTTTTGATGAACATTAGGAAAAGCAACAATTGGTTATGGGATCTTAGACTAAGATATTAATGTAGATAGATAGATAGATAGATAGATAGATAGATAGATAGATAGATAGATATAGGCAGACAGAAAAACAATGAAAAGTCAACGGAGTACAATCTGTAAACAGTATGAAGGTCAGGGAAGAGTCTCCGCAGCTGACGTCCACAGTTGTCATTGGTCGAGAAATGAACAACCCGTTTTTTTTTGCGGAATCTTATTGGATGTGAAAACCAGGAAGTGAGGGACTAACCAATCCGCGGAATAAAAGTACTCAGAGGTTCGACAGCACAGGAGTGGACCTGTGTTATTTTTCTAAAGAGGAGAGTTGTCACATTCACAGCCTTTGCATCCTGTTTTAAAACACATTTTGTCTAATTTCTTCACCCAAGGCATAGTATTGTCAATCATGGCTGTCTACAAATTAGTGTTGATCCGCCACGGAGAGAGCAACTGGAACCAGGAGAATCGCTTCTGCGGCTGGTTCGATGCAGATCTGAGTGAAACCGGGGAAAAGGAGGCGAAGAGAGGAGGACAGGCCTTGAAAGGTGAGGAGGAACTAATTCAATTTATCCCATCATCCAGTGTGCTTTCTCTGAAATACCGTAGGGGCAAGTGCACGGATCTGGTTGTATAATGGCTTCTCTGCACCAGACCAGACCAGACCCTGGACTGCCCTGCCCTGTTAACATGCAGAGGTGATGCCTCCATTATGCTTGTCTGGCACACTGCTATTTAATGTTATAAGAACATACAGTTAACATATCTGTTCTCATTTAAAAAATCAGGATACTTTTTTTATGAGGCACTACTTGTGGACTTTAATGCCAACTTGAATGTGTGGGTAATATTCTTTAACCATCATCCATCTGTCAGAAAAAGCATCAATAAATTACAGCAAACCACATTTACCTACTAATATATTCACTTGGACTTAAAAAGACATTGTGCTTTTCAAATGTGATATTTTGCTGTTTTCACATGTGACAGTAAACCAAATATCTTAAGTTTTGTGGACTTTTTAAACAAAGATAATGAATAAGTTTTGGTTGTAGCCCTAAATCTAGCCACATATATTTTTTCAGTTAGGCTTCAGAATCCGTTGCTTCTGTTCATGGTATCATGGTGTCATTTATAAGAGATGTTTAATGCAACAAGTGCAGACTTGTGGTTCCCTGAAGGTATTGCAGAGGAATTTACTAACTAAACAAAGCTGAAGGAAGCCATCAAAGTATCCAGGTGGAATTTTCTGTTGACAGTTTCAGTAAAAATTAGGGATGCACGATAATTATCGGCCCAATAATTATCGGTCCGATATTAGGAATTATGACGTCATCCCGATAAACCCGATACCAGTATTAATAGCCCCGATAATAAACAATATATTTTTTGGGTAAAAAAAAAGAAAAAAATACTGCGGTGTGGGTGGATTGGGATGAGTGGCGCTTGTTTTTTACTCCTCCCGTTTTGCCAGTACTGTGGTATTAGTGGTTTAGGAAGAGGGGAGTTTTTCACAAATCCAGCGCTCCCTAACTCATGCCTGGCTGTGACGAAAATGGTGTGCGGCCGTGAAGCCAGGACAGTAAACAAACATGTCGTCGGTGGTATGGGCGTTGGAGCTATGTGCAACTCAAGGCATATGCTTGAACCGGAGCTGCCTGGACGCTGCAATCATGTTGCGCACTATCCGTGCTGAGTGTGCTGACTTTTCGTACAATGTCCCACTGTCTGGCTTCCTGCATAAAGTCAAGTGCTCGGCGCAGTTGTGGCGAAATGTCGCTCCTCTGTTTTCATTTAAACAGCTCCGTATATCCGTTAGCGCAGCTAGCTAGCACCAGATGCGAACAACAACAATGCACGTAAGGTCTCTCTCTCGCTCGTTCGGGCCACACATACACACACCCTCCCGGTCCTCCAGATGGCCAGTCGGTGCCTGCCGGTGAGCGTGGAAGTGTGGTCTGCCACAAGCGGGCGACAGGAGCGGGGCTGTCAGCATCAGCTTGTAGATGGTATTTTAAACTCGATGCGCTCTGAAACTACGGGGCGGCCGAGGAAAAAAAATACACATGCGTTAATCGCGTTAAAATAATTAGTGGCGTAATTTTTTTTTTGTTATCGGTATCGGTCTTGAGAAGCAGGAAGGTATCGGTTTCAAAAAACCAATATCGTGCATCCCTAGTAAAAATGCATTAAAATCCAATGTATTTCACTTTCTGGAACTTACAGATGCTAGCTTTGAGTTTGACATTTGCTACACCTCCGTTCTGAAGCGGGCCACCAGAACACTGTGGTTGGTCCTGGATGCCATTGACCAGATGTGGGTGCCGGTGCACCGGACCTGGCGGCTCAATGAGCGCCACTACGGGGGCCTGACAGGGCTAAACAAGGCAGAGACAGCCGCCAAGCATGGAGAGGCTCAAGTGAAGATCTGGAGGCGCTCATTCGATACCCCACCTCCTACCATGGGACCAGACCATGACTACTACAGTATCATCAGCAAGGTAACATAATATATCTACTGTACATACCATAACTAGCTTTAGTTTGCATATAAGGAACAAATTGCTTTGTGTACTGAACAGCTTACTGCTGTGTGAAATCAGTGTGAAGCATTTATTGATTCAAGGTCTGTTTGTGTGCAGCACAGTCAGCTTGAATATCTAAGTGTTTTATGCCCCGGCCACATGAGGACGAAAACGGTCGTTTGCGTTACTGTTTAGTGTCATATAGACCGTTCGGCCACACAAGGACGACCGAATACGGCACTAAACGACTGCGTAAACGATAACGGGTCCCAAGGTGGATAGAACGGCATACGCAACGCTCTGGGGGGGTCCAACGGCTCCGTGTGTACACCCTATACGATAATTTTCTGATAATGATGAGTCAATAGCCCCGCCTCTCCCCACCTCTGCTGCTCACCCCCGCGTCAAAGTAAACTGCACACTGAATTCAGATTATTTATCTTTCTCTCGATATGGACCTAAACGTGAGTGAAGTCTAATCTGACAGGACGGAGACACGCAGCTCTGCTCACCTGCTGCTCCTCCAGCTGTGATGCGGCGGTGAACGGAGTAAAACACACACTTCAAGTCCGATCATCACCCTTAGCTATTTTAATTACCTCTCAAACTACCTAAACTAGATATAAATATGTTTATTTTTACTGTCGGCCGGGTCACTCATTACTGGATCAGCTGCTGCATGAAACAGACACTGGCGCTGTCCGAAGAGAGGGAGGAAAAAGAGAGGCTCCGTGTATTTTATTATTATAATATATAGATTCGTTATTCATTTGTTTTAAAGCTCAATAAATAACAAAGAAGACCTTTGACCGGCACTTTTATAATTTTGTCGGAAGATTTAAACTTTAATACACGTTGACTGGCGAAAAACTCTGCCCGGTTCCCTCGGCCCCCACCGCGGAGAATAAACAGAAGGGCAACCATGACAACCATGCTTCTTCGCTGCTTTTGTGGAGGAAGTTACAGCGCCACGTACAGGCTCCTGCATATGTACTGCAGCTTCTCCAGCGGTTGGAGCTAAACGGAGCTGTCTCGTGTGGACAGACACTATCCGGATGACTATTGCGTGTGGACGGAAGCTTTTTTGCGACTGCGTTTGCGTTAATCCTATGCGTTTAGCCGTTTTCGTCCTCGTGTGGTCGGGGCATTAGACACAGCAGTGCAAATGCAATCTGATGGAAATCCAACAAACTGGAGATACATCACCTTACTGCTTAGTAGCATATGCCCTAATGCTGTTGCCTAGTGGCCCCTACACACGGCGGCGTGCGTTGAAGCTTCAACGCTTCTGCCCATTCACTTTGAATGGGGTGACGTCACGCTTTGCCGACGTCACCCCATTGACTTCAGCAAAGCGTAGAGCTTCAAAAGTAGAGCAATGTTCTACTTTTGAAGCTTCGACGGAAGTGTCAGCCAATCGAATTGTATGCCAGTACAAGCTCTAGCCAATCAAACCGCGTGCTTGTGTGTCCGGGGCGGGAGATTCATCAGACTTCAGACACGCCCGCCGGCAAGCTTCAACGCACGCCGCCGTGTGTAGGGGCCATAATAGTATGTCCAAGGGGAGTTAATAAATGACTGGCAGAAATAAGGTCTGCTAGGATCAAGTTCAAAGTTCAGTCAAGGTAGAAACACACTGATCAGAAGTCTGTGTAGACCGAGGTATTTTGAAGTTAGGATGTGGTAACTCGTAGCTGGCTGTCAAAACATTGATAAGCAACATTTACCCTGTTGACAGTGTAATAAGATCACAGCTGATTCTTTCATGCCTGCAAATGACAAAGAAAACGTCACCACATTGCTTTTATATGACACTTCTTCTTACCCTTACTCAAAGTTCCTTTCCTATTTCAATAAAGGTCTCTTCAGAAAAAGCTAAAAGACAAAGCGATCTAGGTGCTGATTTTTGCAGTGTTCATTTTTGCCTTTTTATGTATTTTAAAAATTGAGAATGTCCTCCTTGTAGGATCGGCGCTATGCGGACCTGAGTGAGGACCAGCTTCCTTCCTGTGAGAGCCTTAAGGACACCATCGCACGAGCTCTGCCCTACTGGAACGAGGAGATTGCACCTCAGATCAAACAGGGAAAGAGGGTCCTCATCGCTGCCCATGGAAACAGTCTGAGGGGGATTGTAAAGCACCTTGAGGGTGTGTGGCGTTATGAATAAGGAAATTTAAGTAGTTTGCCAAATTACATTTTTATGTCTTTTACTTAAATTAAAAACAAAGGTCCTAGTTGTCAGGAATTTTCGTAAGATTTAATTAAAAAACTATACACTAAACTTTATTAGGTACACCAGAACAATCTACCACTATTCAACACAAATACAATTCTCTGACACTGTCATAGAGGTGTTAATTCGATTGTATGTTTAGCATTGAGGTCTTTGTTAGGGGTGTAATTTCCCTCTACTGCATTATAATGAGGGGTCTAATATCCTTCCCCCTTCATGTATTAAAAAAAGGAGAAGAAATAGAAACACCTTTCTATGTAATGTAGTCCAGTACAACACCATTGTGAATTACAGCTTCAATAATATTTTACCTAATAAAGTGATAACAAGAGTATATTCATTTAACACATTTTGCTTTAAAAAAACAAAACATAATCTGTAAATTCTCTAACTTGTTTGTATATGCTGCCACTTGTAGGAATGTCTGATGAAGCCATCATGGAGCTGAACCTGCCAACAGGCATCCCCATCCTCTACGAGCTGGACAAGAACCTGAAGCCTGTGAAGCCTATGCAGTTCCTGGGAGACGAGGAGACCGTACGCAAAGCCATGGAGGCCGTGGCTGCTCAAGGAAAGGCCAAGAAATAAAGACACAGAAAAGTCCTCTCTGTGAACAGAAAAGGCTGCCCCTAACAACTGATCACATACGTGTTTTCCTTATACCTTGTTTATTTTGGATTGTAATACATGATGAGTACACTGTAGGTTATTGTCAAACACACCCTTACTCTACTTGCACAGTGTAGGGATAGTAGATAGTAAACCATTGGGATATGTTAGGGCAAGGGAGCCACAGCTCTCAAGAGATTGGAAATATGTATTGCTTTAACGGCCCATCAATATGACAATCTTTAAGAAATCAGAATTGAACTGTAATGGCTAGAACTGCTAATACATGCTGTTTATCTGTGTATTTGAATAAGTACTTGAATAAATGAATGACCCTTTGAATAATGAAAACCTTATATTTTAGAATTTATTTTATTTGGTGTCCTACACGGAGATGTTAAATGGTAATTAAACCAATTACAGAAGAAAATATACCACCACACCAGTGACGTGCGGTGAGGGTCAGTGTATGTTTTGGTCATTGGATTTTTTTTTCACAAATGGATATTCAAAAACAAAAAACGACTGGATATTTGATTTTCGTTTTCAAATTGAAAAACCAAAATTGAAATACAAGGCGTTTTTCTTTATCATGGTCAAAAATGGATTTACTAAACTTAAAAAAACGGGATGATTTTCATTTTCTACTTCTCAAAACAAAAAATAAAATCACTAGAAAACAGAAACAAACCCCCCCCCCCCCCGTTTTTTCCTATTCTGCTACCGGAAGTTGTCTTTCAAAATAAGAACGCAGATGAGGACGGCCAATCCGTGTATCTACGGTCCATTTGTTTTCACAACGAAAACAGCCAAGACACATATTGAGCCCAGATAATGAATGTTATTGAGGGCTGGAAATATAATAGGCCTGTGTCTAAAATGGACAACATTGTTAGGAGATTTCAACTATACAGCGATTCTGCACTGCGGTCACTCAGCCGTCTCTCGAGTTTGTTTGTTCTGCCAATAGTTATTCGTGAGATCGATCCTGTTGGACTCAGTGAAACTACTCCCACAACAAGTACTATGAAGTAGGCTACTTACTGTGTACTTTTTGAGTAATCCTCTGTCAATGTCCCCTCCCGCAACCCTGTCTCCTAAAAATTACGTTCCCACAGAACTAAACTGCACCTGGTGCCCTGTGTTGTCTCCTCTCCCCTCACCTGTGTGTTGTTCGGTTAATTAGTGTGGGGATTTTGGCTCTTTGTTTCCTGTTTTGTTTGGTGTGTGAGATCATTGTGGCTGGTGACTGTGCTCACGTGAACAGCGAGATTGAGGCTGTGTCATGTGCCCGTGAGTATAAATGCCCACACCGGGTTGTGTTTTGGACGTTCTGCCTCTGCCTCCTTGCTTGGTCGGGCCGCTCAACGGTCAGCTTCACATTTGGTGGCAGTGGTGGGATTCGACCAAGTTGAGGTAACCAGAATGTTTATTTCCACTGTGTACATGTTATAAGGGACCCACAATCGATTTTTATGCAAGGGATAATGTGCAGCGAGGCGGTCTCTATGGGGAAAAGAACACCTGAATCTAGACCCCTCTGCAGGTGGTACTTTAAGTATATTTTGATGCTAATACTTTTGTACTTTTACTTGTAACATTTTGAATGCAGGACTTTTTATTGTAACCGAGTATTCCTACACTCTGATACTTTTACTCAAGTACATGCTCTGAACTTCTCCCACCTCTGACAATAAATCCTGAGCGGTTACCAAAAAAAAAACTTGCTCTGAAGGTTATTTTCATTTTACAAATCCTGCACTCAGCTTTGCTTTCTCTCTTTTACTTTCAATATCATTGAAATGCAGCCACATGCTGCTTATTTTTTCGGTTTTCGCAAATGGCTTGACTTTTTCCGACGCGCTTGCATTTAAATCCGTCTCCCCGTCGCTCTGTGTAGCTGGCCTGTACCACCACACCTGCTGTCTTTGGAGCGTCTGCCCCCCACCCTTCTTTCACATAATGGTATGATCCTAGTGTGTCCTCGCATATGATTGGCCGCATGGTGGCTCAGCAAAAATAAAGTCCCGCCCCTGCCTGCATGGATTCACACAGGGCCGACAGGGGGAGGAGAATACAACGCTGTGTGTATTTATCGCTAAGCTAGCTGGACTCTACGGAGCCAAGCTATCCGCCCTCTGAAGCTTTTAGGGCCGACGGAGAGGAGAATGTCCCGCTAACGCTGTGTGTGTATTTCACATTAGCGGGACGCTATAGAGCTCAGGTATCCACCATCTGAAGCTTTTAGGGCCGACAGGGGGAGGAGAATACAACGCTGTGTGTATTTATCGCTAAGCTAGCTGGACGCTACGGAGCCCAGCTATCCGCCCTCTGAAGCTTTTAGTGCCGACAGGGGGAGGAGAATGTCCCGCTAACGCTGTGTGTGTGTGTTTCACATTAGCTGGACGCTACGGTTCAGGTATACGTCCTCTTTATGGCGGGTGTGTGTGTGTGTGTGTGTGTGTGTGTGTGTGTGTGTGTGTGTGTGGTGTGTGTGTGTGTGTGTGTGTGTGTGTGTGTGTGTGTGTGTGTGTGTGTGTGTGTGTGTGTGTGTGTGTGTGTGTGTGTGTGTGTGTGTGTGTGTGTGTGTGTGTGTGTGTGTGTGTGTGTGTGTGTGTGTGTGTGTGTGTGTGTAACGGAGCTCAGGTGAGAGGGCTCTGATTACAGTACACTGTAGGAAACAGTTAAGACTCAAACAAACTAATCGTTTTGTGGGAGGAATCAGTTCATCTCGTTCACTTCAAAGATTCGTTCCAAAAGAACGAATCGTTCGCGAACGACCCATCACTACACAGCAAGAGTAGGACCGGCTGAAGATGCTGCTCTCCCCGACTGGAGTCCAGGGGCGGACTGGCCATCTTAGGCCGCAAGGTGAACCTCGAAAAGTCCTTTAGAAAAGAAATCCCGCTCCACAGAAGTGAAACTACACAATCTTTAGTTCATAAAAAAGAACGATTCATGCTTATCCACCAAAAAAAATGTCGTCGCTAAAATTCCTGCCAATTCTTCTAGGCACGTAATTATTGGCTGAACTATTCCCTTCGAAGCGTAATAATATCTTGGTCCAAAGTCGTGCCACGGTTCATCACGTGATCGTGCTACACCAATTGGGTAGCTGCATATTGTCAACAGAAGTGAAAGATGGCGGCCGCCATGGTTTCATCGAGTAGCGGAGACGAGGAAAACGCACCAGAAAGTCTCAAAAAGTCAAAATTGTCAACACACAAACATTGTTACATGCATATTACGTCTGTGAAGCACGAAAAGGTTGATTGTTTTACCAATACAAGATGGAATACGTACAGGACAAGCTTACAACGGTCGCTCGGCTTGAAGGGAGACTCTCGGAACGTGGTGGCTGAAAACCACAAGCACTGTCTTGATTTCGAGTTCGAAGATATTCCTGAGGACGCTGGCTTCCACCACACATGCTACATAAGGTTTACCGACACAAAGGCCATGACGAAGGTGGAAAGACGGCTCGCACGTGAGGGAGATCAAGACGTTAGGGAGGACCTTGAGGTCGAGCCCATCCCATCGACGTCTCGCAGCACGTACCGAAGCCAAACAGAGAAGCTACGATCAAGGTCAGGCCTGCCAATCGCAGGCTCTGGCCCCGTCCTTCCTGCCCTGTGCATTATATGCAAGATGAAGGAGAAAATGATCATCAAAGCAGGCAAGCGACAAAGGGATCAACTGTGTAAGGCTGAAACATTAAAAGCAGGTAAGCAAACCCCCCTCCCCCACCCACACACCACACACACACTACACACACACCACACACACATTCTCTGTGGTTGAATAACTGAAAGGTACAATTATGTGTGAGAGATACGTCAACAAACTCATTGAGTTGTCCTTTTTTTCCGTTTAGGCAAATTGCAGAAAGCTGCTGAGAAGAAAGATGACCAAAGTGTTGACCAGCAGGCAAGGAAGTGATTTTGCGTGCTGACAAGAAGTTATTTTCCAGGCTCCTCATCCTTGGCCAGAGCAGGAAAATTGAAATGAGGGAAATTCTGTCATATTCCTTGGGAACTGTGTCATATCCATTAGCAAGTGCTGATGGTTCACTTGCCAAAACAAACAAATCAGCTCTCATGGATCTATTGCAGAGCAAAGGTGGAGAGTGCTTGGTTGACAAAGTTCCAATAGGTGGTGCCATTCTTTTTGATGGCATGGCAGTCATGCAGGCCATGCCATCCAGACCAGCAACATTTGGAGAGCTTGCAGAGACCATACTGCAGAGCATACTCCAACTTGCTTTGCATCACAAGTGTACACGCATTGATTTTGTCACTGACCGGTATCCACCCATCAGCATCAAAAGCCTAGAACGGTCCCGTAGAGCTGATGCAGGGTCACAACTAATAACAATCTTCAGCCCAGATCAGAGAACTCCAACCCAGTGGAAGAAGTTTCTCTCTGACGGAAAAAATAAGGAAGCACTGGCCGAATTCCTTTATGTGGCATGGACACATGCAGACCTCACAACAGTGGGTAAAAACCTCAGCTTGTACATTGCCCATCAAAATCAATGCCACTGTGTAACTGTCATGGAGGGTGTACAGTCTGTTGATGTTGTTGAAGACCTGCAGTGTGATCATGAGGAATGTGACACACGGGTGTTTTTACATGCCCAACATGCTGCACAGGAGCACAAAGCTGTCATCATCAAGAGCTCGGACACTGATGTGGCAGTCATTGCTGTAAGTCTGCAGGCAGATTTGCCATGCAGCTTATATGTGTTCACAGGGACTGGCAACAGGACACGGATCATTGACATTGCCATGGTGTCATCAGCTCTCGGAACCAGTGTGTGTTCAGCCTTGATTGGAATTCACACGTTCTCTGGGTGTGACTCCACAAGCGCTTTCTATGGCAAAGGCAAAAGAAAGTCATTTGCTGTTGCATGTGAGAAAGATGACTACCTTAAGGCTTTCAGAAGTTTAGGTACTAACTTTGACTTGGAGCAATCAACATTTGCACTTCTTTGCCGGTATGTATGTCACCTGTATGATCAGCCAGCAGCCGAACATGTAAATGATGCTAGGTACAAGGCTTTCTGTATGGCATCATCGGCCTTGCCAGAATTAAGCATTCCCCCTACTCATGATGCCCTCCATCAGCACTGCAAAAGGGCAAATTACCAGGCAGCAATAATGAGGTCCTGTCTCAAAAGAGAAATGAATGCTCCATCACCTGCTGGATATGGTTGGGAAATAGAGGATGGGAACTTACACGTCACCTGGATGACAAGAAATCCTGCCCCTGACAGTGTGTTGCATGTGATACACTGCAGCTGCAAAGAGTCTGCCTGTGAGAAAGGCAGATGTTCATGCTTCTCTGCAGGA